GGATTCCCTATTCTGAAATGGTTTTATGCTTTTTCCAAGTTATTTGTTAGACGCTTTCTTATTGTGTTCACTCTGCACTTCTTCAGCAAATATTCCAAAAGTTGTCACTTTTAGTTTCCCCTAGTGGTATTATTACTTAATGCTTTGGCTCTATTCCCATGGCCCATTTTTTTTAATCCATATTTTCTCTTCTTCTTGACCAGCAATCCATTTCTATTTACCAGGCTGTCCGTATTAATTGTATCCTACATGGTTCCAAGTTTGTCACCTCTGTATTCAAACAGGCACTACTTCTTTGTTGACAGCACACAGCAGGGGTGTCCTGTCACAGACAATACAGAAGAGAGTCCCAGGCCTCAGATCTGGCGAAGACCCAGGGTGGCATATGTACAGAACAGATGGAACTGTAGAAAGTTGTAGCTGCTAAGACTTAATCAGTTTATTACTGACTGTCAACTCGCTTTTTATTAGAAGACTTAGAACTTGCCCAACTTGAACAGAATTTGACAGCAGTGTTATTTCAGCTTTGACTGGGTTTCCTTTTGATTCTACTCTCTGCAAGTTCAGCCCAATTCTGTTCTTAAAGGTAGAGTTTATGTTTTAGAGCTAAGAAATCAGTCAATTCTGGTTGCCATTGACCAGTACTTATTCTAGTTCTATCTGATAAGCAGAATATATACATTTCTGTAGTTACAGACATTTCACCGATTTGTCCATTCTGGTATAATTTAATGAAATTTGTAAATCTATCATTACTATAACTGTGGTAAACAGGACAGTTAATATTGGTGTCATGTTTGATTGGCACATGTGTTGCTGAATAATGTTTTATTTCCAATCCCTAACCTGATCTTTCAGTTCGGTTTTAACACTGTCAGAAGCTGCTGTTCTTCTCGTTGACAAAATGTACATTTTTGCCAAACTAGCTGAATTTGAAGTCCTTGATCCAAAGCACAGAGATTTGAGTTTTGTTTAAGCATAGATCTAAAAAATACAGCATACCTGAGGGTATTTTTCCTGAAGCAGAACTGTTTGGCTGAAATTAGCTTCCTCCATTATTAGTTTGTTTTATGTATGCAGTTGTAATGGGCTTTTCTTGGAGTCCCTGTATTGCTCTGAGATTGTGCAGCAACAACAAAATATAACTTTGTAAGATACATTTGAGGCAGTTAAACATCCACACTGAATCACTGAATCACACGGTCAACAACACGAGACAAATTTGCTAGACAAAAAATGTCACTTCATTTGTAGCACTGAACCTTGCACTTATACTGTATGTTGTATCATATACCGAATGGTTTGGGTTGGAAGGGACCTTAAAGACCACCTAGTTCCAACCCCCCTGCCATGGGCAGGGACACCTTCCACTAGACCAGGTTGCTCAAAGCCTCATCCAGCCTGGCCTTGAACACTTCCAGGGATGGGGCATCCACAGCTTCTCTCGGCAACCTGTTCCAGTGCTTCACCAATCATTATTCTTGAAATAAATTCAGATTATGTGCATTAGTAGTCAGGCTGTGGCTTGACCCTAGCACCGAATTCCTGTGGAACTGTGTTAATGAATCCAAGACAACAAAAGGAGAAGTTGCTCTAGTTTTCAACTCACGACACTGACTTGCATACACAGTAGTATTGCTGTGTCTTGCATTGCCCTCACTCCTCTCTGTAGCAGCAAGACAGGTTTTTATTCTCTGCAAGAGATTTGCCTGTGATAGATGCTTGGATCATTATTCTGTTCAGTGCAGAAATTACCCAGTACCTTTGAAAGAATCCTTCTTGTTGATTAGAGGTGAGGATAGGAGGGAATGTCTACATAATGAGCGTTCACCTAATGGCATAATTATAAAATTGTGCCACAGCAGATTGAGTTCATTGTAGTTAACTTCACTAGTGGCTAGGTTAGATGGCTGGTGAAGTAATTTAAACTTGATTTATTAGCATGACCATTTAATTATTACTTGTGCATTTAGTTCTGAGTCATCCAAAATCCTGTGAGAATTGAAGGAAAACCACATCTGATCTTTTTTTAACCTTTTGTTCTACAAAAGCTTAACGTTTCACCAGAACGTTGCAGGCAATTTCTAAAAGGAACTCAGTCCCAAGATAGTCTCACGGAAGTGCTCTGGTGCAGTTCTGACTGCTTAAACATCATCCTTTAATTCAGATGTGACCCAACACGTGAAATTCTCCGAAGCCCGTGTTGCAAAGCTGTAAGTGTTCAGTAGAGCACCTTGTAAGGTATGCTGAAAGCAGTAAGTAAAATAAAGTTAGGGAATAGAAGTGTCTAGTGACTTCTTAGCTGTGTGACAAGCTGCGAGGGGAGCAGGGAACTGAAGAAGATGCATCTCCGTTAGGCAACACAGCAGAAAAGCTGCTTGACACAAGCTTCTACAGCGTCTTGTACTTGAATCTTAACACCAAGAATATGCTGCCAAATAAGATGCTCAACTTGTGTGGCAATTTACACCTGTCTGTTTTGCATTTCCTGGCTTTTTATTTTGCACAGCTGTGTACTGTCATACAGCATCGTTTTGCAATTGCTCTCACTATCCAAAGTATGTGGTAGTGATACTCATATCTATTCATACTTGATCTATTCATACCTGACCACAGCTTTTCAAAGATGTTTTGCCTGTAGGTTTCATGTAGTTCTTGCAAAGGAGAACTGTGTGCATGCATTCAAGGTAACAATTAATCTTTTATAAGTATATTGACATGATGTTACTGGTTGTTCATTTCTGTCTGTAAAGAAAACGCAGTTGGGCTACAGTGCATGTCCAAATGTATTAAGGCGTGTGTTTTATTTTCTATGCTATTTTTCTTCAGATGTTAGGTCAAGGATTATTTTACATAATAACATTAG